GAATTTACATGTGTCCTGTCATCACAGATATCTGTTGAGCAAGGCAAGGTGATCTGTGGAGTAATTGTGTAGTGCTACCTGTGCAACACAGAAAATCTTGAACAAACAAAACCAGAATTACAGTACTTCATCGTGTCTTCATATCATTTGACACCTTTGTAACTACATACACTTTTCCACATCACTGGATCTGAATATCTGGAGTCGATCATGCAAACCTGTCCCCAATTTCTGCACTGTGATGATGACTGAGATGACATGTTAATGATGCACCATTAACATGTTCAGAAAACTGAGATGAGCTCTACCTCAATGTGAAACACTGTTAAGGCAAATAAAGTAACAATTACTGCTCTCATTAGTTGCTGATTGAGGTAACACTTTACTTGAAGGGGTGTGCATAAGACTAACATGACACCTTCATAATCATGACATGACACATGTTATGAATATGAAGGAAGTTTTATGCATGTTTGTGACAACTGTCATTAAGTGTCATTCGCTCAATTATGACATTTTTAATGCAAATATGATATTGTTTCAGATGTCTTTGTTATGACACCTTGACAAACCAATACATCATAACCTGGCAGTGTCTTTGTCATGACAACTTGACATTACTAAGACAACACAACCTGTCATAAACATGACATAGCAGATTAATTATCAAACTTAAGAAACCACTTAGCTTTATTGGTTAACATTACATTAAACTGTCAGGTGGTTGGTTTTGACATTGGCTGTCATGAAGCCATTATAACTGTTTAATGACAAATTCAATTTGTACCACTGTAGTTGAGGTCACGGAAAATATTCATGACACAGTTATAATGGCCTTATGACAGCCAATGTCAAAACCAACCACATGATAGTTTAAATTAATTTAATGTCAAGTTGTCATGACAAAGGCACTGACAGGTTATGATGTTATGGTTTATGTCAAGGTGTCATAACAAAGACATCTTAAACAATGTCATATTTGCATTCAAAATGTCATTATTGAGCGAAAGACACTTAATGACAGTTGTCATAAACATGCATAAACCCTACTTCATATTCATGACATATGTCATGTCATGGTTATGAAGGTGTCATGTCAGTCTTATGTACACCCCTTCAAGTAAAGTGTTACCCTGATGGATTGAGTCGACAAGCAGAAGATATGGCACTCTGGTTTGAGCAATTTAGAAAACACCTGAAAGTAAACTAAAATATCAAAAATGTTAAAAATGATACCGGCATAGGAGGGTTAAAATCATTTGGAATAACTGCGTTGTTCACGTACGAGCCCTGCGGGGAGACACGTGGGAGATTAGCGCAGATGTGAGGCATGCTTGGCACAATGCAGCACTTGTTTAATGGAGCATCTAGTACCTGGAGTGTTCAAAGGTGCCTTTTAAATAGATATTGAAATTCAAAATAAAACAATTTAATTAGTCGTTTCATTATTTTTTCATAAAAAAATGAATGCACGTGTTCAAAGTACTCTACAGGCATGGACACGTTTTAATTGTTTCATTAGATGTTATAAGCTTGTTAATGTAGTTACACAGAACTAGCAAATCCTTTCATTAAAGAAGAAAGGCCAATCACTGGTCCTATAATGTGTGCCATCTTTAGCTACATGAGCTACAGTGTAATGTAGTATGAAGACATTGCTCAAACATTTCAAGATCCAATTATACCGTGTAGGTCATTGTTTGAAACCCCTGGATTTGTCTACACACAGTTTGATATTGATATTTACTGCACATAAGGTTTGTTTGTGACTCATTTCAAGCACGTCTATTTGTTTTGGGCTTATCACACAGATTGGGTTTTGAAGTTCGTTGCAAAGTAAAGAATGATAATCCACACATGAAAGGTAACATGTCTGGTAATTTCAGTCGCACAACAGAGGCCAACAAGAGATTTTACCATCCTGGACTGTTAATGCTAAATGAGATGATTTGTATGATTACAAGCTTTTCTCACGTGTTCAGTCAGGTGTTCTGCGGTTCCTCTATTGCATTACAGTCAGGCCTCAAGTATATGAATGCAAATGCTTTAACTTTGCATGCTTGATTTAATGAGTCATTGCATGTTGAAATTAGTCTATAACACCTGGATAAAATAATCTTAATGGCATACGCAATTTGAAATCTGCTATCTTTGTTCACGGATGCTTCTTTTTTGAGCTTGAGCCAATCATGCCTTGTAGCAAATTATTCGGAATGTTGTTGCAATTATAAAGTCAGAATTTAAGTCTTTTTGGGTCCAGATGGTGAAGTGCGCAAAACTCGCAAACATGCTAACATGGCTATAAAACAACATGGATTGTAAGGGTGCTTTCACACCTGCCTCATTTAGTTCGGTTGAATCGCACTAGAGTTCGTTTTCCCCCTTGGTGCGGTTCGATTGGGCAGGTGTGAAAGCAGCAAGCGCACTCGGGTGCGCACCAAAAGCGGACCAAACAAGCGTGCGAGGAGGTCTCGGTACGCTTTCAAATGAACTCTGGAGCGGTTCTCTTTGTGGTGAGAATGTGATCCGACCTCGAACAGACCCAACTGCCAAAGAACTGCACGTTTTTGGACTAAACCAGCTGCCGTAGTCAAACAAAACTATTATTTAGATTGTCAATAGCGCTCCCTTTAAAGGGATACTTCACCTCTGGAAAGATGAATGTGTATTTAAAATGGGTCATTTATGTAGAAGAAATGTGAAATTATTTTTGAATTTGGAGCTTTCTAGACTGAGAAAAGCCAGAAAATGTGTTTTTGGCTTATGTGGATGAAAGACAACAACTCCCAGAATGCACTTGCTTCGCTGCCCTAGGAGGCCACGCCTACCGGTAACAGAGCGCAGTAGTTAAACAACAAGTCTAGGCTACTAGTGAGTCTCCGTGATGAGTCTGCCCGAAAATGTCTTTCGAGATCGCCCAAAATGTCTGGGATTCGGCTTTTGCGTTCTACAGTCGCCATTCATTATGTTTACTGTGACGAGCAGGACGAGTGAGGGCCGCGGGACGCGGGAACGCGAAGCCGGTGGCGTGATTACCGATGAGCGACACCTGTGAGACGCACCGGTCTCGTATCTCTCACGGAGGAGCGGGAATTTTCTTAGCAATGTTAAAACGCACATCAACCGATCACTTGTTTAGCGTTCATGTAAACACTACATTCAGATTCACCAATCGGAATGAATTCAGTTCATTCATTCATTCAAACAATGAATGGCGACTGCAGAAAGCAAAAGCTGAATCCCGGACATCGACGGCCGGACATGTCCGGGAAAAAGAGGATGGTAACCCCTACTACTCAGCTTTCTCCACAGAACAAGAGCCTGCTAGCTTAGCTTCCAAAAAAAATATGGCTGACACTATGTGTACATTCTGTGAGTGAGATCCCACCCTCTGTGGGCGGGTTGAGAACATGCGGGACAGCCCCTACTACTGACTGTAGTCTTTAGCCTCTGGTCAAAAAATCCTCCGATGACGCAAAATGACGATTTTTGCGTCATCGGAGGATTTTTTCCAGACAAAAAATACATAAATCTCTTGTCTCAGGGGGATATGTGGGTGGAAAGCATGGTAATTCGAAAATAGTACTACAAGTTTTCTACTAATACAAAGCTTAATGCTAAATCCTGAAGTATCCCTTTAAGCCATGACTGACTTTCCGCATTCTGCACTCTCACTAAAACTCTCATCATAAACACTGAAGTTGTCCGCACTGCACAGTGAATCTCTTATTTGTATCACGTCTAGACTTTGTTGTTTATGAGGGGATTTACGAAAGGATAAAGCTCGTGCTGATTCTGAACATAAATTGTGAGCGAATTCTCCGCATGTCAGCCGGATTTTCCTCCTCTTTGTTTACTTCCAGGAGTTCTGTTGGAATTTCCCCGCACGTTAATTCAGACCAATCGAAGTGCAGTTATGGAAATATGTTCAAGACACATCTGGCCAACTGAGTGATGTGGATGTTGTCACATGACTATATTTTGGTTGGTTTCATCAACTCATCAACTGATTCGGACCAGAGCAATCAGTGTGGTGTGAAAACGAACCGAAACCCCTGAAAAATGCTACAAGGTATAATTTTTCGCCTTTGGTCAGGACCAAATGAACCAAACTATGTGAAAGCACCCTAAAAACACTATACAAATAAATAACTGACAATCCTTGCATTTTTAATGTTTCCACAATGGGCGCTATAGCGAGAAGTAATGCACAATGTCTTCTTCTACTGTCATGGCAGTGTCACGCAAGATCCTATTGCACAGGATCCAATGACTGAGACCATTTTGAATTCATATTTATTCAGATTAGAAATAATAGAAATCACTTTATGGTGTATTTATTCTTAATCATCATGAGATTGATGCTTTTAAATTACACATCACATCACATTATACCCACAGCCCAATAAAGGACAAGTGTTTTGGAGAATGGATGGATGAACACATTAGTAAACCTAAAAATGGTCAAATTAAACATTTAACTTTTTTGAACGTTATCCTTCTAGCTTAACAAAGCACTAACCTGGTAAGAAAAGCTCTTTTTAATAGCTAAAACAAGATATCATAATTACACACTATGTTTTTACAGGAATTGGGGTTTAGGTGGAATCGAGAATATAGGATTCTGAAGGGGATATGATATTGCCAACACTCTCTCTTGGCTAATCATAATGTTTTAGCGAATTGTTGGCTAATTCGCATGAATTCTCTCATTCATGTTTTCACAAGATCTGCTAACACCCCACTGAAATCGCAAGTGTCTGTGCAAATCACATTGTGCGAATTCCTTCGAAATTGCCACCAGTTGCGTTGTCTCATGAGATCAGGTTGAATCTTGCATAACCGTGCAACGGCCCATTTGCAACGTGTTGTCTAGACATTTCCTTCTATGCTTGAGTTTGTTATTTGTGATATTCTAGTAGAGAATAAAAAAATAAAAAACTCCACACGAAATATCTCTACACCCTGTTTTCAGTGATCTTTTTCTCTCGTCCCTACAGGCAATGCATTTGTGGTGAGTTTGGCAATAGCAGACCTGGTAGTAGCCATCTACCCCTACCCACTCGTCCTAACGGCCATCTTCCATGACCGCTGGATCGCTGGCGACATTCACTGCCAAATCAGTGGCTTCCTCATGGGGCTCAGCGTGATCGGCTCTATTTTCAACATCACAGGTATCGCCATCAACCGCTACTGCTATATCTGCCACAGCCTTAAGTACGACAAGCTCTTCTCCAACAAGAATACAGTATGCTATGTGGTGCTGGTCTGGGCACTGACTGTCCTGGCAATCGTCCCCAATTGGTTTGTGGAGTCTCTGCAGTACGACCCACGCGTCTACTCGTGCACCTTCGCCCAGTCAGTGAGCTCGCTTTACACCATTACGGTGGTGGTGGTACACTTCATTCTGCCCATCGGCATCGTCACATACTGCTACCTGCGCATCTGGATCCTCGTCATACAGGTCCGCAGACGGGTCAAGCCCGACAGTCGGCCCAAGATCAAGCCTCATGACTTCCGGAACTTTCTCACCATGTTTGTGGTGTTTGTGCTGTTCGCTGTCTGCTGGGCTCCGTTGAACCTTATAGGCCTGGCGGTTGCTATCCACCCTAGACTAGGTCAAGATATACCAGAATGGCTCTTCACAGCCAGCTACTTCATGGCATACTTCAACAGCTGCCTAAATGGTGTTATATATGGAGTGCTAAACCACAACTTTCGAAAAGAGTATAAAAGGATTGTACTTGCTATTTTCAAGTTCAATTGTTGAGTTATGCACAATGAAAAAAGCACTGTGTCATTCTTAAAATTCATGTTATTCAAAAGTTTTTCAAAAGTCAATGATGCATCTTTTTTCATTTGAATATTTTTTTTTATTGTTTGAATTTTGTTGTACCAAATATGAACATATTTTGAGTCACTATATGTACATGCTTAATTTTGCACAGTTTGAACTTGAGTTTCTTGTTTACATTATCATCTACATAAGTTCTTATTTAAATATTTAATTGGCATCTAAATGTAAAAGATGGTGCCACAAAACTAAGCAAAACCTCTGATAATGTTCATTTGAAATACTATTTTAATTAAAATATTGCTTGATTTGATTTAACATCGATTTAGTATAACATTCAAATGCCTAAAAATGTAATGTTTGAATATAATACGTTTTTAAAAAGTCTGAAATGCTATTTCTTTTAAACTTGTTCGGTGATTTTTAATTTCAGCATTATCGTCCTGATCATGGTGTCTCATTTACATGTTAAATATTTGATTACATTGTAGAAAGATCTAACAAAACAATTAGTGAATATTTGAAGTGCTAATGGAGGATGTCAAACGAGTTATTATGCATGTTGAGAGAATTTTCCGGTTATAGTTAAGTTTATGAACTTAAATGCACACATCATTTAATCTCAATTTAATGAACTTAATTATATCAATTTTATTAGGGTGAAGAGGATGTATGATATATGAGATTTTGATAGATTACTTCTGTGAGCATATTGTCGCTGAAGGAATAGGGTTATGCTAAATGAAATTACTTTATTATATACCTCAATTACAGAAAAAGAATGTTTGAAATATTCTAAATTATTTTACACAAATATATTAATACAAATTAACTGATAAAATTATATCAAATTATTACAAAATTATATTATTGCCTGTTTTCTGACTAACACAAAGAAAATGGATTACAAGTGGGAAGTTAGAGCAGTTTATCAGTTCACAATAGATTCATGAAGTTGAATGTTGGAAAAAATGCAAAAAGAATATTATTTTCCTGAGTGTTGCAATGGAAATCACTTCCATGCATCCTGCAAATATTTGTGTTTTTGCGTGTTAAGGTGGTTGGATATCATAAGTGGAATACTGTGAAATCCCCACTCTGCACAATTTTCTGATCAAATATTTATTAAACAATCATATTTTTATACAGTATGTAGACATTCCTATGAATGCCATTGGAATCTGAGCTCTGCATTCATTCTCAGGACAATGTTTAATAGTAATATGTCCTAATAAAATCTGATCACTGTGCTTAACAGTGCAACATAAGAAAATATGTGACCCTGGACCACAAAAGCAGTCTTATGTGTCCATTTTTTATGCTGAATAAATAAGCTTTCCATTGATGTATGGTTTGTTAGGATAGGACAATATTTGGCCGAGATATTTGAAATCGGGTATCTGAGGGTGCAAAAAAATCGAAATATTGAGAAAATCATTTTTAAAGGTTTCCATTTCTGTTGGCGATTGTGCTGCATCCACTTACGCAAATAAAATTTTGATTTATTTAAGGCAGGAAATTTACTAAATATCTTCATGGATCATGATCTTTACTTAATATCCTAATGATTTTTGGCATAAAAGAAAAATCTATAATTTTGACCCATACAGTGTTTTGTGGTCCAGGGTCACATATAAGAAATATTCACTGCACTGTGGGCAAAGGAAGCGGTGTTTGACTTAAAGTAAATAACCCTTTTCTGATACGTGGTTGATTTCATAGATGAACACCAGAAGAACATGCTTGCCAAAACATATGCTGTTTTCAGCACCTCAAGAGTTTTACAAACAATAAATACTCGCAAGACAACACACCTTAGAAATGAACACTATCCCAGGGCAGTTTTCTTCATAGTGTGCTGCCAGTCATCATTAACCATTCAAAGCAGGTTCGGGGGAAGTAAAGTATAGATCTCTGACAGGGAGCTTTGTGGGTCAGCGAGGACAAATAGTTTGTAGATGGTAGATTTATGCCTCAGGGTTTCAGAATAAAATAGGGAAACGTCACACAGAAAGCTCAAATCAGTTATTCTACAACACTGCTTAGGTTTTGCTCAAAAGATAGACTGTCAAGTAGCATCTATGGCTGGACATGATTAAATGATTTCTCCAGGCAGGCCATTACGCTGAATATATGGTCAAATACATACTCTTGAGATATAATCAGCAGCCAGATATTTCCAAATGTTCAACATCGACTATGGCAATGCTGAATATCAGTGCACTCAAACTTGCGGTAGTCTGTCCAACTTTATAATATGTGTCTTTAACAAAAAATATTTAATTATTTGGTTTAACTGTATGTATTATCGTTACTTATTAAACTCGTTTGCAGCTCGTAGGCCATGCAACTTTCTCACGAGTCGAGACACGCTTCGCATTTGTTTTGTAAAAATTAATAAAATTCATCTCTCTCTTGGCAGAAGCTAGCCAAATTACCCAGATGCCAGTGTGGATCGGTTGTATCATGGTCCTCAAATACCATGAAGAAAAACTAGACAAGACAAATGAAAACATGACTCAGGCTATATTAAATAGAGGTTCACTTGCTGCAAGTGTAAACATGGTTTGTGCCAAACACAATACGTTTTTATGTGGTGAATTACTGGCTGCCGAGAGCATGAAACCTTGAAATTGCACAATAAACAATTTCTGTGTTGGGTTTCCACTTGATGTTCAATGTAAAAGCTGGGTCTTGAATCTAAATCAGTTGATAATGTGACTGTGACACCTTAAATAATACTCACTATTGCATGGAAGGATTTAACAGTATGAGCCCCCATTTTTACTTTTAAACTTAGTGGAATGCCTTTTCCCATAGGCCTCCAAAGTTACTGCCTATTGTAATCGGCAGCATGCCACAGACAATACCCAGAGCTTGACTTGTATTGAACAAGAAACATTTCTGTAATGATTCTTGACACAAGTCACATATTACTTGACCTTCCTCACATCCAGACTGACAGACACTGGGAGTTCTTTGTGTGTTGTCGAGCAGCTGAAGAAAAGTAAAAACATTTGAGGCCCAGAACTACATAATAGAACATGCTCAACACTTGTCTTAATCCACACTGTATTTTTTTCCTCATAAATAAATGACATCCTAGTACCATAGCAATTTCCTTTTGATCTGTCAAAGAGCAAAACACTATTATTCCAATCTCCATCAATTTCAATTAAAATGAATGAATAAACAAAGCTATAATTCACACAAATCCTACATGTATGGTAATCATAGCCATGCTGATATTCAGTGATGACATCTGCCTTTTATTACTCCGTGTAAAAAAAGCCTCACAAAAAGCCTCATTGCCATACTGGTATACTGTACGTCACAGACAGGCACCAATGAGAATGGAGGAATGACCAGCAACCAAGCATTTATAAATACCCCTCCTGAAAGTGTTGCTCTTTCTAAAATGTCTAAAACTAATGCGACTAAAGCCACATTTGACATCCAGAAACAACTGTCAACAGTTACTCTGTAAAAAGATGGCTTGAGACAGGAAGTATTTCAACAATTTCAAAATACAAAACCTTTCCAAGTTCCCTTGGAGCATGCATACTTTCGGTTAGAAACCACTGTCCTACAACAACAGATGCAGAGAGAAAAGTCACACCCGAAGAAGAGGCAGTACACTAATAAACATCAAGGCAGGCTATCCGTTCTTTAATTCAACCACAGAGCACATACCAGCCAGCAGATTTAACTTAACTAGTGGACCATGAAACTCTCATGTTGATAATCAACATAAATGAACTAGTAATATGATGTCTGTCCATTTTTTTTTTTATATATCATTTTTACATAATTTCACCAAGTTTAAAGTTTTAAAATATGTTCATTTTCAACAAGGTGAGCATGGTCAAAATACTTACAGTATATGTACAATAAGGCAAAAATGAAACAAATCCAAAACAAATAATGCAATTACAACAGCTGGAAATGAGTGCAACTAAGTGTACAGTAAATTATCCAAAAAAAAAACCACAACAACAACAAAAACTTTGGCACTGCCGTTAACATATATACAGCAGATTGATATGAAGCAAACAAACTGGAAAACAATTCAAGTACCTCAGTAATAAGCATTTAACACAACCGTACTGGTGTTAAGTTTTAAAATTAAAGTTACTCAACATACTTGCAGTTAAACCACTCCTGTTGGTTTGCCTGAACTTTAAGTCATTTGGGTGCTAAACATCATGAGATCTAGAGCTTGTTTTAAAACTACTGCATAACTTGATTGAGATCAGGTCATATGTAAAACAGTTAGAAAAAATCGAATGTTATATCAACAGATTTCTCTGCTAGATTAAACAGATGGAATCTGTTGAATATCTTTTTTTTAATAAGACGGTTGATAAGGCTGAATGAGTAAACAATACTTTGTGAACATCAAATAAATCAAAAATTAATGTGACAAAAAATACTGAGAATGGGTTCATTTAAACACTGTAAACAACATAGATGAACAATACAGAGATTATTCTGATTATTCTGACTTTCAGCTTTACATTTGGCTATGTTTTACCCAAAATTTTAAAACAGTGACTTTAAAACCAATGTAACTTGGGAAACTCGATACTATAAGACTTCAGTGCTGCAAAAACTGAAAGACAAAAGCACATCAAAAATCCATGAGCCATCTACGGACATTCAGTACGAAGAATCCCAAGAGGAATTCAGCAGAAATCAAAGGAGCCTGTAGTGAGTAAATGATTCAGTGGGTCTGTACGGCCTCCATTTAATCTGTCACTCGGTCAACATTCACAGGAGCTGAAGGTGCGTGCTGTTGTGTCTGCTGCCGTTCCGTGCCACAATCTCCTGGATGGAGATGTACGTCCCCGCCACAAAGCCCACAAGGCCAATGAGGCTGATGCCGATGTCCTTCACCATGACCCAGAGCTTCATGTCTTCATTATGGAAGGTGATGATCTGAAGCAGGGGAGGAATGATGAGGGCCAGAGCGCTGCTACTCACGGAGCCCACCAGAGAGATGACTAGGTCAAGCTCCGGGATCAATATGGCGAGAACACCTGTGGTGAAACAGCAAAAGGAACATCGTGTTAAACCGCGCCACCACTTCCAGCTGAGAGAGAGAGAGAGAGAGAGAGAGAGAGAGAGAAATGTAAAGAGCCAGAAGCTGAACTAAAAGGGAACCTAATGGCTCGTTTCCACTGAGGCGTACGGTACGGTACGGTACAGTACAGTACGGGTCGGATCGGTACAGCATGATCCGGCTAGCGTTTCCACTGCCAACAGTACCCTTACTTGATAGGCGTGGTGTTTGCCGGAAAGAAGCGATCAACGTCATTTTCGCGCGAAGAAAGCGACATAGTAAACAACAATGGATGACAGACAGCAGATCTTGTTCTTGCTTCTCGGCATGTTTGTCACAAGAAACAAGCGCTGGCATTAGGTGTTTCTCTATACGAAGTAGCCACGCAAAGTCCGACTCAGGAGAATGATCCCGAGGACGCGAGTCCAGTTATTCTGCTGATGGAACAGCGCGTTCTTGAATGTGCCACTCAGCTCGCTCTGCTACTCCGGTTATGTACATTTTAGGCAACAATAAAACTAAATATGTTCTAAAACACCACTCTGCTTCTTTTCGATTTAATTTAAATACATTTTAAACATTATAAGTAGGGCTGCAACTAACGATTATTTTGATAATCGATTAATCGGACGATTATTTTTCCGATTAATCGATTAATCTGATAAAAATCTCAATTCGATTTTTTGTTTATTATAACTAAATAAAACCCGGTTATACTTTATTTTAAGGTGTCCTTGTTACAGTGTAATTATATATTTAAGTACAGAGTAATATTAAGTAACTACATGTACTTACTATAGGAATAGGGTAGGATTAGGTTGAGGGTTAGTTGCATGTAATTATGCATAATTTACTGTTATTACTACAGTAAGTACATGTAACATATGTAACAAGGACACCGTAAAATAAAGTGTTACCTAAAACCCTAAATTAGGATATTTATGTGTAAAAGTGTACTTTAAAAAGTGCAAAAGCCACACATTGAGTTTTACAAATATCAATATTTGCATTGTTTTTAATGATAATTGCTGATGGCAAGTTGACAACCATGATTAATGTAAAAAAAAAAAAAACATTTATATCCAACATATTGTTTTAACACAATTTTTGTTAAAACAAATTTACAGAAATGTTGTTCAGATGTGAAGATATAAACTAAAAACATCTCAAATATACAATTCATTTAATTTAATTCAAAGACTGAAAACAAGCGTGTTAACATAGAGCCGCAGTAGATCGCGTTTGAAAAACAATTAAAACTTAATAGTAGACAAATGCTATATAAAGAGAACGTAATGGAGGTACGCAGCAAGCTAACAGGCTTGATTACAAAGACAGGAAAAATGATGCATTAGTGCACAAACATTCGCTGAAAACCACTGAGTACAGTGACTAAAAAACAATAATTTACTTCTGCTGTTATTAACTGCCTTTATATTTAGTGCTTCGCTTTGTAAAGACCGTTTTAATTTAATATTTCTGCGGTAGCACTATTTCAATCCATCACTTATGTTGCGAGTGAACTGATTGCGCAACCTGATGCTCGAGACGCAAAATACAGACATCCCAAGTCTCCCGGAAGTTCTGGAAGTCACCCGCATATTGATAGCGGCTCCCTGATGCTCGCAAATTAGTTCAAACTACCGGGATTTGAGCGCGCAAGCAAGAGCGCGCATGCGAGACAGAAGAGACTGTGCTCCAAACCGTGTAGCGCGGGCGCGCGGCAGAGCAACGGAGGGAGAGAGACTGCGGCCCCATCCACACTACTGCGTTTTAGTTTAGAAACGGATAATTAAAACGAATACAATCTCCGTCCACACCAGCGTTTTAGCTGCGTATTAGAATTGATCTCCGTCCACATTAAAACGACTGAAAACGCGGATCACGTGACCATTCACCAACACTGGGCATGCGCGTGCCGGTGTAAACACAACTTCATTGATAAAATTATCCCACCATGCTCTGGGTTAACCCCAAACCGACGCTCCATGTACGGTCAACGCCGCCGCTGCACACGGGAATTGTCACAGATCGCTCGAATAATAGCTTGACTCCGGCGCATGTAAGCAGTTATAGCGTTGTAAAATGCAGAATTTACTTGTACAACAGCTGCTAGCAAAGATATACGCCATGACTGATGACACCCAATCACAGAGCCGAGCGTGAGCCTTTACTACGTCATCGTTTCTAAGTCCTCCGTTTTGACCCGTCTACACTAAAACGCTAGCCTGACTTCGTCATACTCATATTCTAGTCAGAATGTGAGTCTGATACTGCTCCATAGGGCTTTGATTATGAGGCGTGTCTTAACCGAACCAGGAAAAAAACAAAAACTCTGCACTCAATTGGATAGACCTACAACCAATGAGAGCAACGCAGTAAGTCAACTACTTTGCATAGCACAGTTGTCAACTACAGAACTCAAATGCACGCACGCTGGAAGAAGTAAAATAACGAGTGTTGCTTCTTTTACTTGGTCCTCTATGAGTACGACCAAAGGAGAAACCACAACGACCACAGGGTTTTCATTGCGTCCCATCTTCTCAGTTACCATCGGAGCCAGCTGATAAATTAAACTTTTGCTGAATCCCATAGGAAGGACGGCAAACACATCTTTCCGATCGACAAATGCCTTGATTGCAGTTCTCTGTTCGTCTTTTAAAATGAATGCGCTGTCGATTTCTTTTACAACAGACGATAGCGGAATCTGTACATCTCAGTTCTCCAGCTGCAGTCATCTGTGAGGGAAACCAGTTAAGCGCTCTTTGATAACGTGAGGATTACGTAACTGCAGATCATCTGTCCATCATCGTATAAAGCCCGCCCTGGCAATTTGATTGGCCCGAACATTTTTTGACTGATCATAATTACTCCTCAATGGAGCGAGTCCAGACCGAACTTCCCGACCAAAAAATGTTGTGGGCGGGGTTCGGGCTGGCATCCAGGCTACTAAAATGCCCTTCGGAGATTCAAAACGAAAAACGGATCGGCAGCGTTTCTAAACTTCTCCGTTTTGGGTCTCCGTTTTTTCCGTTTTAGTGTGGACGGGAGGTGCAAACGTAGCAAAAGGTCTCCGTTTTTAAACGAAAACGCAGTAGTGTGGACGGGGCCTGCGTGTGTGCCTCATGAAGCGCGTGTAAGACAGAGAGCATCCTGATTGGCCTGTTTCAACCAATCACCAGTAAACGTTCCCCGTGACGTAAGCAGACCAACTAATCGATAATGACATTCGTTGACAACGATTTTCATAATCGATTATTATCGATTTTATCGATAAGTTGTTGCAGCCCTAATTATAAGCACACAAATGTGGTTCAGGCAACGCATAGCCTATTGATTATATTCACTGCATGTATGTAACGTTATATTTATAACAAAACTAAATATAAAACACAACCCTGCCTCTTTTCGTTTAAATTTAAAAATATTAAACATATTCCAGGCAATGTATTGCATATTGCATTGGTACAAATGTTGCAATAAACAACATTACAGATGATCTTGTAATAAAATAAAAAAATGACAAAACTATTTTTGTTGAATTTCAGTTTTATCAATAATAGCCATTATAAAAGTAAAAGGTACAAAAAGATATACAGTAAAGCTTTAATAACATAAAGCAAACAATTCAGTCAAATATACAAATTCAGCGCTCAAATATATGAAATTTCACTTAGCCTTCTGCCAAAACTATTGGCCAGGGAACGAATTATAGATTCACGAGACCAAAGATCGCCTGTTAGGTCTGTACAAGACGAATTATATCTCATGTTTAACCACTACAGAGACGTCAGAGTCAGCGGCAAACATCAGAATGACTAGCCGGGGAAAGGCTGCTCCAGGCGGGGTGCACGAGCGCTGAGCGTCCGGTGATTGCTTGGAATGGATCTTCAAATTATCATAAATCTATAAATAAACCACAGATTTGAGTTTTAAAAAACTACTTTCTCGCCTGAAAAACTCTTATAACTAAATTTCGTGTCACAATAACAGTATTATATTTCAACTGTATGCTTCTAATCCCCCTGTAGCACGCGCAAGTGACGATACTCTGTCAACCAATCACCGTTCTGCAGTGAGTCTAGCTCCACCTTTTAGTACCGTACCACTGTGGTACGTAGGTACCCCAACGGAAGGGTACCCAAAAAGTGGTACGGTACGGCTTTTTGGTACCTTTCACAACTTTTGACAGTGGAAACGCAAAAAATTGCGTACCGAACCGAACTGTACCGTACCGTACCACTCAGTGGAAACGAGCCATAAGTTAACCCAAAAATTCTGTCATCATTTACTCACCCTTTTGCTGTTACAAACCGTACTCGGTTACCTAATGTATCCTCGGTTCTCTCTAGAAACGTAGGGAACGAGTATTGCGTAAGTTGCTTACGCTGCGGGTAAAGTTATCTTTTCTTGAGATCTGAAGCCAAAAAATTATCTTTAATTTTGTATTTATTGTCAATGCAGTGCAGCAGACAGCAGACCATAGCAGGCTGTATAAGCGTGCTCATTGGCTGTCCTGCAGCAACTACAGCAGCCTATCGGTGAGCCCCGTGTGATGTCACGCCCAATGAGGGCGTTTTGCGCCCTCTACGCATCACAGCCCGCCAGAATGGGAGTGGCTAGCGTATATAAAAGAGGGGCTCAACAGGCTGAACTCTGGTTCAGGAGAAAAAGAAGAAGCGCGAGGGAAAGGTTCCAGCGAGCTTCTGGGCGCCACATCGGTCTCCGGTGGCCTCTGGGAGCTGCGCATCTTCCTTCGCTGTCCAGCAGAGACAGGCGGAGCGGCGGCGTTGTCGTTGAAGATCTCAAGTCGACATTGAAAGATCTTAGCACTCAGGGCAGCCGCCCGAAGAGAGTGCGATGGCTGCGTGCTCACGGCCCAGACAGAGAGCGCAGATGAGATGGCGGTCTCTGGTGCCGAGCGGGGCTCGGCCCGAGGCACAGGAAGAGTGAGGCATTTTGATAAAAACGCCTCGC